AGAGAATGAGCCACTGCACTGCACTCCAAAAAAAAATGTGGGAACAAAACTTTTTTTTTTTTTTGAGACAGGCTCTCACTCCATTGCCAGGCTCACTGTAGCCTCAACCTCCTGGGCTCAAGAGATCCTCATGCCTCAGCTGCCTGAGTAGCTGGACTACAGGTGTGCACCACCATATCTGGCTAATTTTAAAATTCATTTTGTAGAGATAGGGTCTCCCTATGTTGCCCAGGCTCGTCTTGAACTCCTGGGCTCAAGTAATCCTTTTACCTCCACCTCCCACAGTGCTGAGATTACTGGCATGAGCCACCGTGCTCAACCACCCTCTCCTTTTAGACTCATTAGTGTTTCATTTTGTTCTGTTTTTGAGATGGAGTCTCACTCTGTCTCCCAGGCTGGAGTGCAAAGGCGCAATCTCGGCTCACTGCAACCTCTGCCTCCTGGGTTCAAGCGATTCTCCTGCTTCAGCCTCCCAGGTAGCTGGGACTGTTTGGAAAACTCTGCCCCTACCGCAAAATCTCTCTCTCTTTCCCTCCCCCACAAAGAGGCTCCCTTATCTCTCACTTTACATACCGGCCCTAGCCCTCCCGCCGCCCAGCTTCCCGCCCAGCAGTTCAAACTGACCAACAGTTGCCCACCACCTCGGCTTTTGGCTTCCCCACCCCCCAGCCCTTCAGCCCCCTATAAAACAACCCTGCCCCTCTGAGCGGCGCGGCCATTTTTCCTTTTCGTCCCAGCTGGCCCGCCCGGAGGCTCTTTCCTCTCAATAAAGCCTGAACTTAAGGAATTTCCTCTAGCCTGCGGTCCGGTTTCTTTCCCAATGAGCCCAGTCTTCCCGCAGAGGGTAGGTCGGACAGGGACTACAGGCACGCACCACCACATCTGGCTAATTTTTAATATTTTTAGTAGAGACAGGGTTTCACCATATTGGCCAGGCTGGACTCAAACTCCTGACCTCGTGATCCATCCACCTCAGCTTCCCAAAGTGCTGGGATTCTAGGTGTGAGCCATCTCACCTGGCACTCTCATTTGTTTTAATGAGAACATATTCTGTGCTAAAGTGACCACTAAGGCCCTATGGCACAGAAAACACAGTATTTAATCTCCTTTCTTAAAAATTCACAACCTAATGGGTGAGATAGATAACTGCCTGTTTAAAGTTTCTCTCAGCAGCATAGGTGGGTATTGGAGACCAGTTAGAAAGCGACTGATGCAGTTGATGGTGGTAGGTGGATAGGAGTAGGGGGAATGTGATACAGATTCAGTGACAATCAGATATGTGAGGGGAGACAGACAAGTCAAGGACTCCATGGTTTCTGGGCAACTGGCTGAATATGGGTTGCAGTTCATGAGATTCCCTCACCTGCTTAACCATTTCTGCTTTTCAAGCCATAGCTATGGCTTTTGGGAAGTTTCTTCCCACCACTCTCCCATATACGAAACCAGAGGCTTCTCTTGTTTCCTGAGCATCCTGTATGACTTCAATCATGGCACCTAGTGAATCATACTGCAATGGCCCTGTGAACCCTTGAAGAAATCATGTTTTGTGAAAATGAACAAAGAAGGTAGGTAATAGTCATATCATGTAAAACCTTGTGACCATGCAAAGGAATTTGATGCAGATACATTAATGGATTTAAGCAGGGAGGTGGCATGTCTGACTGTAACGCTGACATTGAATTAGAAGCAGACGGATGGAGGCCGGGCGCAGTGGCTCAAGCCTGTAATCCCAGCACTTTGGGAGGCCGAGGCGGGTGGATCACGAGGTCAAGAGATCGAGACCATCCTGGTCAACATGGTGAAACCCCGTCTCTACTAAAAATACAAAAAAAATTAGCTGGGCATGGTGGCGCGTGCCTGTAATCCCAACTACTCAGGAGGCTGAGGCAGGAGAATTGCCTGAACCCAGGAGGCGGAGGTTGTGGTGAGCCAAGATTGCGCCATTGCACTCCAGCCTGGGTAACAAGAGCCAAACTCCGTCTCAAAAAAAAAAAAAAAAAGAAGCAGACAGATGGAACCTGGGAAATCAGCTTAGAAGCGACCCATATTTCTTTCTTTCTTTTTTTTTTTTTAAACCAAGGAGCTGTGTAAGCAACCCATATTTCTACATTGAAATGAGAAAGGCTTGGCCAGGAGCAGTGGCTCATGCCTGTGATACCAGCACTTTGGGAGGCCAAGGCAGGCAGATCACCTGAGGTCAGGAGTTCAAGACCAGCCTGGTCAACATGGTGAATTCTGTCTCTACTAAAAATACAAAAATTAGCTGGGCGCAATGGTGGGTGCCTGTATTTTCAACTACTTGGGAGGCTGAGGCAGGAGAATTGCTTGAACCCAGGAAGTTGAGGTTGCAGTGAGCAGAGACTTCGCCACTGCACTCCAGCCTGGGCACCAGAGCGAGACTCCATCTCAATTAAAAAAAAAAAAAAGAAAAGAAATGAGGAAGCCTCAAGGCCAAGGATGACAGTGGCTTGAACTAGGGCCATGTCTACCATTCAAGGCAGTTAGAACTCGGAGAGGAGGAAGAATTTTTGGTTAATTATTTAGGCTTTTAAATATCTAGCCCAGAGGCCAGGTGTGGTGGCTCACACCTGTAATCCCAGCACTTTAGGAGGCCAAGGTAGGGGGATCACTTGAGGTCAGGAGTTTGAGATCAGCCTGGCCAACATGGTGAAATCTTGTCTCTACTAAAAATACAAAAATTAGGCCGGGTGCAGTGGCTTATGCCTGTAACTTTGGGAGGCTGAGGCGGGTGGATCACCGGAGGTCAAAAGTTCGAGACCAGACTGACCAATATGGTGAAACCCTGTCTTTATTAAAAATACAACAATTAGCTGAGGGTAGTCGTGTGCACCTGTAGTCCCAGCTACTCAGGAGACTGAGACAGAAGAATTGCTTGAACCCCTGAGGCAGAGGCTGCAGTTAGCCAAGACCAAACCACTGCACTCCAGCCTGAGTGATAAGAGTGACACTCTGTCTCAAAAAATTTTTTAAAAATATATATCTAGCTGGGCACAGTGGCGCATGCCTGTAGTCCCAGCTACTCGGGAGGCTGAGGTGAGAGGATCGCTTGAGCCCAGGAGTTCTGGGCTGTATTGTGCTAGGCCGATTGGGTGTCTGCACTAAGTTTGGCATCAATATGGTGACCTCCTGGGAGCAGGGGACCACCATGTTGCCTAAGGAGGGGTGAACAGGCCCAGGTCGGAAACGGAGCAGGTCAAAACTCCAGTACTGATCAGTAGTGGGATCGCGCCTGTGAATAGCCACTGCACTCCAGCCTGGGCAACATAGCGAGACCCCGTCTCTTTTTATATTATTAAAGAAAAAAAGAGGGCCGGGTGTGGTGGCTCACGCCTGTAATCCAAACACTTTGGAGGCCAAGGCGGGCGGATCAAGACCAGCCTGACCAACATGGTGAAACCCTGTCTTAAAAAAAAAAAAAGAAGAAGAAAAAAATAAAAATATACATCTAAAATCCTTTTTTTGAGGGGTAGGAAGATGGAGGTGGTATATATGTTGATACTGCACTGGCCAGCAGAACCTTGAGAAGTGGACAGATTAAAAAATGTAGGCCGGGCATGGTGGCTAACACCTGTAATCACAGCACTTTGGGAGGCCAAGGTGGGAGGTTGGCTTGAGCCCAAGAATTCAAGAACAGCCTGGGCAACGAAGTGAGAACCCTGTTTCTACAAAAAGTTAACTAAGCATAGTGGTGTATACTTGTGGTCCCAGCTACACAGGAGGCTGAAGCAGGAAGATTGCTTGTGCCTGAGAGGTGGAGGCTGTAGTGAGCTGCAGCCTGGACACAGAATGAGACCTTGTCTCAAAACACAAAATAAAATAGAATGCAGATTGAAATGTTAAATATAGCCTATCCATAATCTCCTCCCTTATACCCTGAACCAAAATATTGCTACTTTCGGTTAAGTTCAGAAAAACTGAATGCTGAGTTAAATCATTCATTCCTAGCCTTGAACATACAATACCAGCATTAACAGCATTTATGTATTTAATATTAATTATAAACAACTGTCAATTAACTAATGGTTGCTATTTGCCAAGATATATCTAGATTATCATTTAATTATTACTAAGGCCTGTATATAATTTCTATTTTATAAATGAGAACACTAAGCTCAGAAAAGTGGAGTGAGTTGCCCAAATTCACATAGTGAAGCCGGGATCAAAGCTAGTTACAGGGCAGAGTGCGGTGCCTCAGGCCTGTAATCCCAGCACTTTGGGGGGCCAAAGCGGTGGATCACCTGAGGTCGGGAGTTCGAGACCAGCCTGACCAACACAGAGAAACTCCCCAGTCTCTATTAAAAACGCAAAATTAGCCCGGTGTGGTGGTGCATGCCTGTAATCCCAGCTACTCGGGAGGCTGAGGCAGGAAAATCGCTTGAACCCAGGAGGCGGAGGCTGCAGTGAGCCGAGATCGTATCATTGCTCTCCAACCTGGGCAACAAGTCTCAAAAAAAGGAAGAAAAGAAAAGGGCCGGGCGCCGTGTTTCATGCCTGAAATCCCAGCACTTTGAGAGGCCGAGGCGGGCGAATCACAACGTCAAGAGATCGAGACCATACTGGCCAACATCGTAAAACACCGTCTCTACTAAAAATACAAAAATTAGCTGCGTGGCGGTTTGCACCTGTAGTCCCAGCTACTCCAGAGGCTGAGGCAGGAGAATCGCTTGAACCCGGGAGGCAGAGGTTGCGGTGAGCCGACATCGCGCCATTGCACCGCACCCTAGCCTGGCGACAGTGAGACTTCGTCTTAAAAAAAAAAAAAAAAAAAAGCTAATTACAGTACTGTCTAATTTTAAAATCTATACTTTTAAGCATCTGGCTGCACTACATCTCTAAAAGTTTTATGTAGTTCAAATGTGAGCACCGCTCGTCTATGCAGAAAAACTGAATAAGCAGCATCAACCGCGGGTAGAAACAAAACAGAACCCACCAACATGTCGGCTCCACCAACCCGCAGAAGGTCGCTGCACGTCATAATGCTGCGCGGCCGCCCCTCGCGCACCACGTGCGAGGGGAGCAGGCGGGCGGATAGCTGAGTCTCCAACCGGGAGGCGTGCCCTATTCATCCATGGCGCAAGATGGCGCTGCCCTTTGCACGTTCTTTGCGCTTGTGTCGCTGGGGAGCCAAACGATTGGGAGTTGCCTCCACAGAGGCCCGGAGAGGTAGGATGATCTGTTTTTACTCTTTATTACCTCCAGAATGGCTTTCGTCTATTTCTCCTAGACCCCACTCCGAGAAGCAACTCCAACCCTCTCGGGTCTTTCCCTTCCCCCACCGGCGTTGGTCCCGAGATTCCCAAACCTGTGACATCATTTGGTTTCTTTAAATCCCGGGACTTCCTCAATCCGAGTTTTTCGTCTCCGTGAGCTATCCATGCTAAAGCGACTGTCTTGCCCGCGTGGCATTCTGACTCTTCCCTAGTTGCTCGTGTCTTATGACTGGCCTGCGTCAGATCTGAATGTATCACCAGCCCTAGGGTTCTAGCCCTGTTATCCCGTCTTTTTGCTCTGCCCGCAGGCATCAGTTTCAAACTGGAAGAAAAAACTGCCCACAGCAGCCTGGCACTCTTCAGAGGTGATACGGGTGTCAAATATGGCTTGGTGGGATTGGAGCCCACCAAGGTGGCCTTGAATGTGGAGCGCTTCCGGGAGTGGGCAGTGGTGCTGGCAGACACAGCGGTCACCAGTGGCAGACACTACTGGGAAGTGACAGTGAAGCGCTCCCAGCAGTTCCGGATAGGAGTGGCAGATGTGGACATGTCCCGGGATAGCTGCATTGGTGTTGATGATCGTTCCTGGGTGTTCACCTATGCCCAGCGCAAGTGGTACACCATGTTGGCCAACGAGAAAGCCCCAGTTGAGGGTATTGGGCAGCCAGAGAAGGTGGGGCTGCTGCTGGAGTATGAGGCCCAGAAGCTGAGCCTGGTGGATGTGAGCCAGGTCTCTGTGGTTCACACACTACAGACAGATTTCCGGGGTCCAGTGGTGCCTGCCTTTGCTCTCTGGGATGGAGAGCTGCTGACTCATTCAGGGCTTGAGGTGCCCCAGGGCCTCTAGTATGTCCATACTGGAGTCCCTAGTCACTCTCTTGGCCAGCGTCCTTTTGAAAGTGTCTGAAGCCTTTTGACTTTGCCCCAAGCAACCTCTGGCTCCCACAATTCAGTGTTGGGTCCTTTGTGCAATATCATCATCTTCCTCATCCCTTACCTTGTGAAAGCTAGGCATACAGCCAAACCCTACTTCTTCCCACCCACCAACTACTGCCAGTTTTCCTGGGCTACCGTGTGTATATCTTCCCTGACCTGCTTCCTTCAGTTCCTCTGCCTCCCTTTGCCCAGGCCTTTCTCAGACTGTATTCCATTCTGGGGTCTTATCGTTCAGCTTTGTTTGAATTTATTCATCATCATGATACCTCTCCCTCCCTTTGTCCACATGTAACTTGTTTGTTCTTGGGGCTCTACTGGATCTCTCCAGAGTAAATTCTTTCTACCTCTGGCTGAAGAAGTGGTGCAGTCAATGACTTGACCCTTTCTCTACAGCACATTCAGAGTTTGGGCTCTGGATTCCTCAGTAAGTGCTTTATTGACTCAGTGTGTCAGAATGAAAACAGAGCCCTCCTTCCTCAGTAGCTCAGTGCCACAGACCTTCAGCCCCACAGAGCTGTAGCTATCTTTACCCCGAGTCCATCTACCTTAGTCTCTACCTCTGACACCCAGCCAATCTGTCATAATCATTATGCCAGTTATAACCATGACCAAAGGGGAAGAGACTCATCTAGGCGATGAATGCTAGAAACTGTTTATTCTTTTTTTTTTTTTTTTGAGACAGACTCTCACTCTGTCACCTAGGCTGGAGTGCAGTAGCACCATCTTGGCTCACTGCAACCTCTACCTTCTGGGTTCAAGCAATTCTCATGCCTCAGCCTCCTAAGTAGCTGGGATTACAGGTGTGTGCCACCACACAGGCTAATTTTAATTTTTATATTTTTAGTAGAGATGGGCTTTCTCCATGTTAGCTAGGCTGGTCTCAAACTCCTGGACTCATGTGATCCACCTTGGCCTCCCAAAGTGCTGGGATTACAGGCGTGAGCCACCGTGCCCGGCTGAAACTGTTTATTCTTAAGAAGTTCATCTTCATTTCTGCCACAGTTGGAACTTCCTGAGGAAGGAGGGAGGCCTGAGGTTTTACACAATCTGTTTCAGAGCCTGTTTAGACTCAAAGCTATACTTCCCTTGGCAGCAGAATACACTTAACCTAAAGTAGTATTTGGAGTTGAGAAAAACCTGGTAGAGTAAGTGAATATGTATTGTTTGGATTCTATCTGACCCTGTGGTTCCATCTTCTACCTTCTATGATGGCAATGAAGCTAGATATCCCTAGGGAAGAAAGAAGGACTGGGTTTAGCAAAAATGATTTGATAATTAAAGTTTATTTGAACATAAAATACTTTCTCTGTCTATAAAATTGCCGTTAGCAGTAGCTGCAGCATCTCCTGGCCAAGGGGAGTAGATCTTTCCAGACTACTAAAGCCATATATATAGCCATTCCCACTTCCCTTATTCTGTGGATATATACATGTGCATGGTAGCTAGAGTCCTTCCACCAGAGTGTCTCTCTCTCATGATGGTTTCTTCAGGGAGAGGAAGAGGAGATCTGGGTGAAGACCTGGGATGGTTTTGAGTGGGGCAAGCCATTTGGCTGTACTTTGAAGCCCATTCTCTCTGGATAGCTCTACTGCTATCCAGAGATAGCCCTTCTCTGTACTCTGTCTGCTGAGGGAATGGGGTATTTTGACTCTCATAGAAAGCAGTACCCCAAGTCACCAAATGACTGCTTGGTCCCGACTGAAGCAGTATAGTTCTCCATAGCATTTTTGGTGGGTATGGATTGCATGTGTGGCCAGCTAATGCTTTTTCTTGAGCAGAGGCTATCCATGACCTGTGCTCATACCATGCTCTCTAAGTTCTCTTTGGACAGAGCTTCAGCTGCTGCCTCAGCCTGAGTCTCAGAGAGTGTGTAGGAGTCCTGGTAATCTTGAAGCAGTTTGACTACCTCCAGATGGTTGAACTGTACAGCATCATCCAGGGGAATGTTGCCCCACCTGAGAGGAATAAGATATGATCAGGCGAAGGAGACATGGAGAGTGCAGTGGTTGTATATATTTGCATGGTGGCTGGAGAATAGGTAGAGAAGCTGTGTCCACCCTCCCCCACTTTTAACCTAATCCTCACCTGTCCTTGACAAAAGGATTCACTTTGCAAGCCTCGATCAGGAATTTAACAACTTCAATGTGTCCTGGGAATATGGGCAGAAGGAAAATGAGAAGGCACAGGTCTTAAACCCTTTGATGTAGACACTTAGCCACTGATTCTTATTCTTGAGTCTTTACCAAGAGGAGAGGGAAAAAGCTTCTTCCCATTTTGTACCCTACAGCACCCAGTAACAGTCTAGCTGCAAACTGAAGGGTGTCTGGATAAAACTAGTTGCTGCCCCTATAACTTTGAGGGCACATATAATGAAGGTACTTTTGGTGAAAAAGAAAGGTTCTTTTGATTCGCCTCCCCTCTTTAACCCTTCAGTACCTTCAGCTGCAGCAACATGCAGAGCTGTGCGCGAGTCGTAGTCTTTCTGTTCCATATCCATGGCTGACAAGGCAAACCTAAGGGTAGTAGAAAGCAGCTAGAGTTGCCTAGATCAGACTGAAATCACTGGTGTCCTTTGTGAACTGGTGTCAGACTAGATGAGTTTCAGAGAAGTGAAACAGCCTACACCCAGATTTGTAGGCCCTAAATAATCTTTGTTCTATACCCAGATGAGACTGTTATTCCCGTATTAGAGAGCTAGGAATGTGATGCTTCCAGAAGTGTTATTCACTGCCTACCTGTGGTAAGTGCCCATTCGAGACAGGGGACCTACTTCCTAGGACTCTGCTCTTAATAACAATGGCTAATATTAATTAAGTTATCATAGAGCAGGCAGTTTACTTTTAAAAAAAAATACCATTTAAATGCAATCTATATGCATTCTGTCTAATTCCAAAGCTGAAGCACTTAACTATTTTGCTATGCTGCCTTCTAGTAAAATATCTGACCAGGAATATTTTATTGTGTATATTTGGCCACAGTAGCATTACCTTCGAAGAGCTGAGACATCACCACTATAGGCAGCAAATAACAGGTTGACCACAGTCTTGTTCTGGAACACAAATCATACCCACCTGACATTAATTGAACTCACCTATGCTCTGCACTGTGACCCTCCTCCATGGATGCTTAGTCAAGGGTATTGCTGAGTGTTTTAGAATGTTCTACTCTGAAATATTCTTACAAGCCACCGGGAGTTTTCCTTACCCGAACTTCTCCTCCTTCACGCCGTGGGTCTAACTTGCGAGCACAGTGCCTCATGTTGTCATAGTTGTGGAAATTGAAGAGAGACACCAACTTCTAGAATTGTAAGCCAAAGATATTGTTTATTTACTCCTTATACTTAGGAGCTCAAGATTGCTCTATTTACTTAAAATAAAAGTGGTAGGCCGGGCACGGTGGCTCACACCTGTAATCCCAGCACTTTGGGAGGCCAAGGCAGGTGGATCACCTGAGGTTGGGAGTTCAAGACCAGCCTGACCAACATGGAGAAACCCATACAAAAATACAAAATTAGCTGGGCGTGGTGGCATATGCCTGTAATCCCAGCTACTCAGGAGGCTGAGGCAGGAGAATAGCTGGAACCTGGGAGGTGGAGGTTGTGGTAAGCCGAGATTGCGCCATTGCACTCCAGCCTGGGCAACAAGAGCAAAACTCCATCTCAAAAAATAAATTACAGGCCGGGCGCGGTGGCTCAAGCCTGTAATCCCAGCACTTTGGGAGGCTGAGGCGGGTGGATCACGAGGTCAAGAGATTGAGACCATCCTGGTCAACATGGTGAAACCCCACCTCTACTAAAAATACAAAAAATTAGCTGGGCATGGTGGCGCATGCCTGTAATCCCAGCTACTCAGGAGGCTGAGGCAGGAGAATTGCCTGAACCCAGGAGGCGGAGGTTGCAGTGAGCCAAGATTATGCCATCGCACTCCAGCCTGGGTAACAAGAGCAAAACTCTGCCTCAAAATAAATAAATAAATAAATAAATTACAAAAGTGGTACCACTAAACAAATTTATTGCTTCAAAAAATATTAAGTACTATATGCAAAGCATCTCACCTGACAAAAGCTAGTCCCTCTGTGACTGTTCCCCAGCTTGTCCAATGGGGGTGACAGGCACATCATTCCCATGACATTGGGTACCACCAGGAGGATGGCTCCCGATACAGCTGACTTGGCTGGCAGGCCCACCTGGGGAACAAAATTGAAGCTGAGGATAATCTGGGTGTGCCCCAAATCAGAAAAGAAACATATTAGGCTGTACTCTTAACAAGTTTACAAATGACTGCATGGCCACAATCCACCTCAACCTTTTGGGTTGTTAATTAGCTTCTTTTATTGCTCCTGTCCTTTCCTTCTCTTAAATTCACTGATTCAGCTAGAAAATACTTATTGAAATACTTAACAGCATTCTGTGCTGGATGCTGTGCTAGAACTAGGAATGTACATTCTGGTGTTAGGAGATAGGTAATAAACAGGTCTATTTATTTAATAAACTTGTCTATTTATTTAAATAGACAAGTAATTTTTAAAATAATTATGATAACTAGTGAGAAGAAGTAGGGTGCTGTAAATAGAGCTGGGGGGGCACGTGAGATAGGGTGGTCAGAAGTCTCTGGAAGTGACATCTGAGACTCCAAGGAGAAGAGCCAGCAATGCGAAGCACAATTCAGGAGCTGCAACATCTCTTTTTTTTTTTTGAAATGGACTTTTGCTCTTGTTGCCCAGGCTGGAGTGCAATGGCACAATATTGACTCACCGCAACCTCCATCTCCCAGGTTCAAGCAATACTGCTTCAGCCTCCCAAATAGCTGGGATTATAGGTGCGTGCCACCACTCACGGCTAATTTTTTGTATTTAGTAGAGATGGGGTTTCACCATGTAGATCAAGCTGGTCTTGAACTCCTGACCTCAGGTGATCCACCTGCCTTGGCCTCCCAAAGAAATCTCTTTATATATTTGAGGAACTTGGTGTTTTTGAGAAACTCGCGTAAGGATTCTCAACCTAATTTCCTACTAGAAGTTAGTGAATGAGAGGCAGGAATAAGCTTCCACCTCTCTAGCTTCAGAGAGTCAGTGTTCTCTCTTCTTAGCACTGGGCTTATGATGGATGACAGAGCCAGAAACTCACGTGGAAGGCAAACTGGCCAGAGAAGTCATACATGCCACAGGAATGCATGAGGCTGAGGGTGTTGCGCACTGCTTCAGCACTCAGCACACTCTCGCCTGTGATGGGGCAGATCCCACCATTGGCGAGGGTGGCTGCCATGACACTGCCTGATTCACAGGTGACCTCCACAGAGCACAGCTATGAAAACAAAGAATAGTTGAAGACGTGATGTGAACCTGCACATGGTACTCTTGGCTGTAGAGTAGGAAAATCTGTCTTGTTCCCTCACCTTGGCCCTGAGCAGTGTTTTCTTACCTGGAAGTAGAGATCAAGGGCAGCCATCATGTCCACTCCCTTAGGAAAGCACTGCAAGGAAGAGAGAGGAAAGAATTTCTCTTCAGGACATCAGCAGCCGTTTCACAGTGTCAGGGTCTCAGCAGAAGCCCCCAACCCCACTGCCCTTCCACTAGGAGCAGAATTCCCAGGGACTTTATCTGCCGGCCTCTCTTGGTTACCTTCTTTTCCTTGAGATAATAGCCGATGGCATAATTCCGATCCCCTGTTTCCTTCTCTGACTGGAATCTGAAGCAAACACCCAATTTAGTACTGGAAGTTGGAGGTGTCGGTATTGGGAGAAGGAGAAAAATTACCTTCCCTGAGAGAGACAGATCTACGTCACACCACAAACTAAATGAACCCCTTTATAAAGCTTCTATCAGTAATATTAGAGGAAATTTCTGAACCTGAGCAGACACTCAGCATAGCCTTGTCATAAAGTAGACCCAAACCAAACATCCCAAACTGCCTAGTCATCTAGTCTAGGAAAACTGGTGATGTTTTTGGCTTTGAAAGTCTTGGCAAGAAAGGGCTTAGGCACAAACCGTCACACTGCCTCTCTCATTATGTACTAATTAGAAATGGAACAAATTATTTTATAAGGTAAACAAATGTTAATGAAGGGGCTCGGAGAAAGCTGGAATGCCAAGGTTCCCCTGGGATTTCTTCCTTCTAAGATTCTCTCTCCCTCTTTCCTCTTGTCCCCTTCCTTTCAGTCAGTCCTCTGAATAGGGACTTACGTGGCATTGCTGAAACCCATGTATTCATTCCCAGCCATTTTGTTGAGATACTGCAACACCTGGAAGAGAAAAAGGGACATTGAGGCTCCACTTGACTAAGGACCTCTATTAATACCTCACAGGCTGACAAGCCCTTCTGAACTCAAGTCTTGTCAACAGGCTTTCCTCTCTGAGGCCAGGAGATTTCCATACTTAGGGAAATAGGGCTTCTAGTATGGGCTGGTGCGCCTGGTAGTGGGGTTACAGACAGCCACTGGGGCAGCTAGAGAGGACTGCATGCCATGGAGAAATGCAGCCAGGGGTTAAATAGCAAGGGAACTTACAAAATCAAACTTCTCTGCTTTGTTACAGTCCATCTGCAAAGAAAGAAAGAGAGATGTCAGTATTCTAAATCCATGAGGATGGCAGAAGGACGAGTCAAGGATGTAGTGGAGTTAAAAGTGTCAGACTGGTCCTGCTGCCGCAAATGTGTTCAATTTTATAAAGGCCTTTTTTTTCTTCTTAAAACACGGCACTTCCATTGGCTCTTCCCTTTTCTTTTCTTTTTTTTTTTTTGAGACAGAGTCTTGCTTTATCACCAGGCTAGAGTGCAGTGGCACAATCATGGCTCACTGCAGCTTCCACCTCCCAGCCTCAAGTGATCCTCCCACCTCAGCCTCTGAGGTAGCTGGGATTACAGGCATGAGCCACCTTGCTGGGCTGTCCCACTTCCATTCTCAATCCAAACCCTCATCCCTGACACCCACGTTCATTTCCCTGACTCTATAATCCTGTCCCCCAGCCCCACCCTCTCCCTGATCTCCATCCTCATTCTTTACACCTCATGCTATAGCTTTACTCTATCCCATTGGCCTGCACGATGGTTCATGCCTGTAATCTCAGCAATTTGGAGGGTTGAGGCAGGAGGATTGCTTGAGCCCAGGGGTTTGAGACCTGCCTGCGCAACATAGGGGAGACCCTGTCTCTATTTTTTTTTTTTGTGACAGAGTTTCGCTCTTATTACCCAGGCTGGAGTGCAATGGCACGATCTTGGCTCACCGCAACCTCCGCCTCCTGGGTTCAGGCAGTTCTCCTGCCTCAGCCTCCTGAATAGCTGGGATTACAGGCATGCACCACCATGTCCAGCTAATTTTTTGTATTTTTAGTAGAGACGGGGTTTCACCATGTTGACCAGGATGGTCTCGATCTCTTGACCTCGTGATCCACCCGCCTCGGCCTCCCAAAGTGCTGGGATTACAGGCTTGAGCCACTGCGCCCGGCCTTTTTTTTTTTTTTTTTAATGTCCTACTTAGATGGGAATGGGATGCGGCAGGTCCCAGATACAGGCTTGTAGATGGAGCCATCACAGAACAAGGAGAGAGACTCAGCCTCGTTTCCTCACCCGGACTCATTGCTTACTCATGTCAACTACAGAGTCAATACCACAGGGACTCTGACACCTGAGTCCCTGGGGGAAGGGTTCCTAACACCACCTTCCCCAGGAGGGGCTGTGATTGGCTCCAGGGTGTTGCTGCCCAGCTGTTCCCAGGTTCTTGCTCAAGCCCTGGGAGACCTACAGCTGATGGGCTAGTTTGACACCCTTGTTCAAGGCCAACTCACAGTTCCAGGTGACGTGAATAACTGCCCTGGCCTGGCCATTCACCCTTCTCTGCAGGTGTCCCACACCCAGAGGTGGCCAATCAGTGCCCAATAGTGCTGTCCTCCCCTTGTCTCTGGCATTTGGCCCTTGGTCCTAGGCAGGGGTCAGGGCGCTCTAGGCTCCAGACTCATGGGTGGGGGCAGGGAACAGTACTGAGTAGGGATGAAGTAGATGGTGCAGTCTCTTTTACTGATGTCCTCAGCATAACAAATGGGTCCCTGCTGTGCCTCATGTGCCTCCTGGGGACCCTCAAAGAAATCAGAGCCCCACCAATCTCCTCAGAGAGCTGAATAAATATGAGGGACACAGGAACGCAGGAGCTTAGAGGATAATACTTAATCAGAAGGTTAAAGTGACACTGACCTTGATTAGGGAGCTGACGACAATGGCACCAGCATTGACCATGGGGTTATGGGGAATTCCTGAAAAAATACAAACCACCAAGAGAGTCTTAGCCACTGAACAAAGCCTCCCTGACAGCCCGCTCACTTTGTGGGTCAGACAAGAAAGACTGTTTGCTAGGAAGAAAAGCATGACGGGGCTAATCAGGAAGGGAAGAGAAACAAAAAAGGCTGGAGGATGGGTTGGGGATAAGAAGGGGACAGCTGTAAGTATGGTCTGAGCCTTGGTAGTGCTCACCATCCTCATTGAGGGAGAGCTTGTTGTAGCGCAGGCCACTGGGCTCTTTGCCCACAAACTTGTGCACGTAGTCAGTGCCTAGGGTGCTTACGGAGATGGCATAGGTGAGGGGCTTCACACAGGACTGCAGGCAGAAGGGGATCTTTGTGTGGCCCACAGAGTGCCTGGAGGCAGACAGATGCCATGAAAGAGGTTGGCTCGTATTTGGCACCTGTGCCCTGCCTCCCCTTCCTCTTGTCCAGCATCTCACCGCTGACCATCCACAGTGCACAGGGAGACACCCCACAGGTCTGGGTTTGACTTGGCCAGCTGAGGGATGTAGGCTGCCACCTGGACATGAGTGGGTAGAGAAAAGGGAGATGGATGTGGAGAAGAAGAACAGAGTTGAGGTTGAGGGTCAAGAGAATCTTTTAGATAAAAGCTAAAATTCTGTCTCCTGTAGGGCAAAGGGGTTCCCTCCTGCCTACTGCTCCCAGAAATGCCCGAACCTTAAGTCCTAGAAGGCTTTATCTTTCTGTATCCCCAATCCTGTAGAGATGGCAGTAAACCCAATGAAAGTTAAAAAAAGAGAATTCTGAGGTCACCTTCTCCTTTTGGTTCCTAGGCTCAATTACCCTGTAAATCTCTTTGAAGGCTCTATTGAATCTTCTAGGAATCGTGTGTAAAAACACATGGAGCCATGTCCCCATTTACAGAAGTTCTGCTTCTCATCTCTCATTCATAGGATTCCCAGCCCCAGGAAATCTCTGAGAAGCAAGGTATATGTGAGCTGGGCACGGTGGCTCATACCTGTGATCCCAGCACTTTGGGAGGCTGAGGCGGGGGGGATCACTTGAGGTCAGGAGTTCGAGACCAACCTGGTCAATATGACAAAACCCCATCTCTACTAAAAATACAAAAATTAGCTGGGCATGGTGACATATGCCTATAATCCCAGCTACTCGGGAGCCTGAGACAGGAGAATCCCTTGAACCCAGGAGGCAGAGGTTACAGTGAGCTGAGATTGTACCATTGCACTCCAGCCTGGGTGACAGAGCAAGAAGCCATCTCAAAAAAAGAAAAAAAAAAGATATCCGGCCCAGGTCCCTGACCCCTCCCTTAGTCCCCTGGCTCTCACTTTGCCTCCAGTGAGCTCTTTGGCATCCTCGAAGATGCGATCCACATGGCCCGTGAACTCCTCAAAATCAGGAATCACAAACTTCTTTCGGAATGCCTGGGTCAGGAGCACAATGTTGCTGCTCACACACCTGGATCCCAGACACGATTGGATTAGGGGGCTAGAGAGATGCAACTGGAACTCACTCTGGAGCCATGGAAGTTGGGAATAAAGAAGGTTGTAGGTGATCTTCAGGTTTGGGATCAACAGCTGTGTTACCTTTGGCAAATCAGTTTACCTTTCTAGGTCTTAATTTCCTTACATCTAAAATGAGGGCTTTTTTTTTTTTTTTTTTTTAAATATAAATCCAGGGCATGCTAAGCCAAAAATGAGGGGTTTTAATGACATGGAAAGACACTATGTCTTGGGATGTGAGAAAAAAATAAATGCCAGAATAATATGTATGTTATGTTATCTTGATATTTTAAACATCCTAAATCATAAAAGTATATTTACATATATTCATGTATGTATGTAAATACACAGGACATTATCTAGAAGATACCCACTAATCTGTTAATACTGTTTACTTCTGGGAAAAGAGGACAGGGATTGAGTAGGAAGGGAAAGGAGATCATGTATTTCCATATTGTTTGAACTCTATGAGTATTCATGTATAACTTATGAAATAAGTAATAAAATAAAATGAGGAATTGAACTATACAATTCCCAGATTCCTCCCTGTTCTGAGAGTTTATGTCCACAGGACAGTTTTGAGAGAGCAGTGCCCTTGTTTCTGGGGCCCTCACTTTCGGAAGAGATCTCGGTCCAAGAGGCCACCACTACTGGACTCTTGGACCACGCGGTGCATCTCGTTCATGCAGTCTCGGAGCCGAGGATCTGATGTCTGCAGTCCAGTGGCCTTTAGTGCCTTTAGAGGAAAGAAGAGGCCAGTAAGGTCAGCTATAAGGACGGTGTATACTCCTTATAATCTTTTCCAGTGGACACCCAATTAGCTGGACCCCAACCACTACAACAGGTGGAACAAAGGTTTGGATAATAAGAAAGGAGGGGATGGAGCAGCTCTGAAGGCTAACAAGGGTTTTCTGTTGTTTTTCCATGAAGCAGGGGGTTCAATCTTCTGACCCTGGGGCAGGAATGGGCTTGTCAGCCTAGACATCTGGATTTTCATCCATCTGTATGCTTCACCCTTCACTTGTCATACCCTCCTTTCCCCACTTTCCAGAGATCTTAAGGAATTAGGGTTCTGAACAGGCAGAGAGCAACTTACAGTGGTGAACTTGTGGATAGGGATTCGTTCCTGTCCTTCAGCAATAGTGTAAAAGAGCAAATCACCCAGGCGGGACAGCATGCCACTTTCTGATGAATCACTGTTTAGGAGCAGAGAACGGGGAGGAAAGTGGAGCCTGAGAACTGCTACCTGCTCCTCCTGCAACATGGGCTTACAAATAGGTGAGCATCCTCATTCTATGCCTCCTCCTTGAACCATCTGATCTATCCTTATAATTCTAACTTTCATGTCTGTCCTGAGAAGTTGTAAATCTCTTCCCTCTTTTTACTCCTGACCTTCAGATCTTTATTTTTAGGTGCCTTCTGACACTTCCACCTATAGGTGCCCCACAAGCACTGAAAACTACATGTCCAAACCTGAGTCATCTCGCCTCCTTCACTCTTCTCCTGTTTCCCACCTGGGTTAACAGCATTACCACCCACCTGGGTGCCAAGCTGGAAATGTGGCATTATTTTGATAATTTCCATACCTTAAGTCCATGCTTAGTTGGTCACCAACATTGGATGAATCTACCTCACAATGTCAAATCCACCCTCTCTTCTCCTTTTCCCTGTGCCAGCATGGTAGACCAGAGTTTGCCCCTTAATAACTATGTGATCTTGAGCAGGTCGCTTAATATTGATGAACTTGCTTCCTTATCTGTAATATAAGGGTAGTAATGTCTACTTCACCTGGGTGATGTGAAGTGTAAGATAATCCATGAAAAAATGTCTGACACAAAGTAGATGTTCAATAAATCATGCTTATCATCAGCTCCTTATTGCCTGTTACCTAATTGCAACTACACTCTCTTGCATTTCAATCCATCTTTTTTTGTTTTGGAGATCGAGTTTCAGTCTTCTTGCCTCAATCCATCTTCTAAAATGTGCCAGTGATCTTTATAAACTCAAATGTAATTTCTCTACTCAAAAACGTTTGGTAGCTCCCCAGGGCCTAAGAATAAGTTCTTGAATTAAGAATTAGGCCGGGTGCAGTGGCTCACTCCTGTAATCCCAGCACTTTGGGAGTTGAGGCATTCAAATCACCTGAAGTTAGGAGTTCGAGACCTGTCTGGCCAACGTGGAAAAACACCGTCTCTACTAAAAATATGAAATTAGCCACATGTGGTGGCTCATGCCTGTAATCCTAGCTACTCTGGAGGCTGACACAGGAGAATCACTTGAACCCGGGAGGCAGAGGTTGCAGTGAGCCAAGATTGCACCATTGCACTCCAGCCTGGGCAAAAAGAGCAAAATTCTGTCTAAAAAAAAAAAACTTGGCGAGGCATTAAAACCTCTTTAAAACCTGCCAATTGGTGGGGCGCAGTGGCTCATGCCTATAATCCCAGCACTTTGAGAGGCTGAGGCGGGTGGATCACCTGAGGTCAGGAGTTTGAGACCAGCCTGGTCAACATGGTAAAACCCCATCTGTACTAGAAATACAAAAATTAGCTGGGCATGGTGGTGGGCACCTGTAATCCTAGCTACTCGGGAAGCTGAGGCAAGAGAATCACCCGAGCCTGGGAGGCAGAGGTTGCAGTGAGTCGAGATTGCGCCGCTGCATTCCAGCCTGGGCAACAGAGTAAGATTCCGTCTCAAAATAAAAAATAAAATAAATAAAACCTGCCAACTTAACTTTCCCTTTCCCCATCATGCCCACACACTCCAAATATAACAGACAATATAGATGGTTCCCCAAAATGGGCTAGAGACTGTGAGGCTTCCTAGCCTTTGCTTATGCTATAACTTTTACATAGAATGACCTTTGGTTAGCATGGTCCTGCTCATTCTTCACAGTCCAGATCAAATGTTCCCCAAACCTCCAGGTATTGCTTGTTTGACACAACACACCATCTTACTGATGGAAGAATATCCCTTGCTCCACTGTTAGGTCTTTGTGTTTTAAACAACTTTGTCTTCCCAGCACTGAGCAAAGTCCCTAGCACACTGTGGGTCTTCAATAAGAATTACTAAATTATATTGCTAGCAAGGTCCCTGTGCCCCAAAGTATCTCTCTGGCTTATAGTACCTAAAATTCCAGGTGCTGAAGACTTCTTGGTTTCTTCAGTGCCTAAAATTCCAGGTACTGAAGATTTCTTGGTTTTCAAGATTTCTATTAATATGTTAAAAGATTCAGAAGAGTTTTTTCTTTTTAAGTAGAAAAGGGGTCTCACTATGTTGTCCAAGCTGATCTCAAACTCCTGGACTCAAAGTGATCCTCCCACCTCAGCCTCTGAGAGTGCTGGGATTACAGGCATGAGCCACATCATCAAGCCAAGCAGAGTTATTTGATCAGATTATTTCCAAATATGACAGCTAGTTGAGATTAAGACTCTTCAAAGATGTTTGACCCAATAATTTGATTTCCAGGGATTTATCCTATAGGTATACTTACATACCTAAAAAATAACATATTTACAATTTTTCATCACATTGTTTTGTTGTTCTGTTTTGTGAGATGGAGTCTTGCTCTGTTGCCCAGGCTGGAGTGCAATAGCGTGATCTTGGCTCACCACAACCTCCACCTCCCGAGTTCAAGCGATTCTCCTGCCTCAGCCTCCTAAATAGCTGAGATCACAGGCACGCACCACCACGCCCAGCTAATTTTTGTATTTTTTAGTAAAGATAGGGTTTCACCATGCTGGCCAGGCTGGTCTCAAACTCCTAACCTCGTGATCCACCTGCCTCAGCCTCCCAAAGAGCTGGGATTACAGGCATGAGCCACCAAGCCCTGCTTTCATCACATTGTTAGTAAGATTAGAAATATGGTGGCTCACTCCTGTAATCCTGTCACCTTGGGAGGCTGAGGCAGGTGGATCACAAGGTCAGGAGTTCAAGACCAGCCTGGCCAACATGGTAAAATCCCATCTCTACTAAAGATACCAAAAATCAGCCAGGTGTGGTGGCATGTGCCTTAATCCTAGCTACTTGGGAGGCTGAGGCAAGAGAATCACTTGAACCCGGAAGGCAGAGGTTGCGAGACGAGATTGCACCATTGCACTCCAGCCTAAGTGACAGGTTGAGACTCTGTATGTAAAAAAAAAAAAATTAGACACAACCTGATGTGCAATAGGGAACTGATTAATTATGGTATATTCATATAATGGGATATTATGCAGTGTAAAAAAAAGAAATTGGGGCATGTTCTAAGTATTGATATGGAATTATCTCTAAGATACAATATTAATTAAAAGAAGTGTGTTGTAGAACAGTATACAGAGTATGGTAGTATTTATGTTTGTTTGTTTGTTTGTTTGTTTTTAGAGATGGGGTTTAACTGTATTATTCAAGCTGGCCTTGAACTCCTGGGCTCAAGTGATCCTTCTACCTCAGCCTCCCTAGTAGCTGAGACAACAAGTGCATGCCACCGTGCCCAACTTTATTTATTTTTATTTTTTAATTTATTATTTTAATAGGTTTTTGGGGAACAGGTGGTGTTTGGTTACATGAATATGTTCTTTAGTGCTAGCTTAATTTTTTCATTTGTTTTGTCTTTTTCTCTTATATCAGCTTTCTCAGGTTGAAGCATAGCTTTAAAAGGGAAATATATATATATGTTTGCTTATTCAGGCACAGAATATTTCTGGAAGAACATTTAGTTAGAAATAGGTAAGACTGGCTGGGCGTGGTGGCTCACGCCTTTAATCCTAGCACTTTGGGAGGCTGAGGTGGGCAGATCACGAGTCAGGAGTTCCAGACAAGCCTGACCAACATGGTAAAACCTCTGTCTTTACTAAAAATACAAAAATTAGCTGGGCATGGTGGCACACACCTGTAATCGCAACTACTCAGGAGGCTGAGGCAGGAGAATTGCTTGGACCTGGGAGATGGAGGTTACAGTAAACTGAGGCAAGAGCAAGGTTACACTCCAACCGGGGCAAGAGCAACACTCTGACTCAAAAAAAAAAAGGTAAAACTGATTTATCTCCTTCTTTGGAGATGACGTAGGTTCTGGGAAAAAGGGATGGGAAGGACACTTTTCACTATCTTTTGCATATTTTGAGTTTTGAGCAATATGGAATATATTATCTATTGAAGCAATGCATTAAAAAATAAGACTTGGCCGGGCGTGGTGGCTCATGCCTGTAATCCCAGCACTTTGGGAGGCTGAGGCAGACAGATCACAAGGTCAGGAGTTCAAGACCAACCTGGCTAACATAGTGAAACTGCATCTCTACTAAAAAAATACAGGCCGGGCGCGGTGGCTCAAGCCTGTAATCCCAGCACTTTGGGAGGCCGAGGCAGGTGGATCACAAGGTCAAGAGATCGAGACCATCCTGGTCAACAACATGGTGAAACCCCATCTCTACTAAAGATACAAAAAATTAGCTGGGCATGGTGGCACGTGCCTGTAATCCCAGCTACTCAGGAAGCTGAGGCAGGAGAATTGCCTGAACCCAGGAGGCAGAGGTTGCGGTGAGCCGAGATCGTGCCATTGCACTCCAGCCTGGGTAACAAGAGCGAAACTCCGTCTCAAAAACAAACAAACAAAAATTAGCCAAACATGGTGGTGCATGCCTGTAGTCCCAGCTACTCAGGAGGCTGAGGCAGGAGAATTGCTTGAACCCCAGGAGGTTGTAGTGAGCTGAGATCATGCCACTGCACTCCAGCTTGGGCGACAGAGTGAGACTTCAGCTCAATAATAATAATAATAATCATAAGACTCAAGCAGCTTAGCATAGACTAGGCATGTGTGTGTTTGGAGCCAGGAGGAATACCAGAAAAAGGACTACTAGAAGAGTTTTCCTGCTTCTGGGGAAATCTGGTTGTCACAAGGAAGCTAGTGCCTATAGAGAGGAAAGGAGGGAAAAAGCTATCTGAGGGATAACTCAAGAAGGAAAGTACATAGGAACACTTTGAAGGCAGGACTCTGTGCCTGGAAACTGACAGAAGACAGGAAATAATGCTATACGACTGAATGTATAACAAGCCTAAAAAAACTGCATATCCCTTGGATATGGATTGATCACCAATGTAATGTTAAGGGAAAACTAGCAAGGTACAAGAGCAACGTGTATAGTATGATACCCAAAAAGCAAGCTACAAGAACAATGTGTATAGGATACCATTTGTATAAAAAAAGGTAAAGTAATATCAGCATGTATTTTATGCATAAAATAGTCTCTAGAAGACTATACAAGATATCAGTGATATCAGATTATTTCTGGGGAGCAAAATTCCTAGGAATTTACTCTAAGAAATAATTGAACAAGTGTACAAGAGTATATAGTAATCAAATTGAAGACTGGTTATATAAACTATGATACCTCATACAATGGAATCTTTTAAAATGACAAAATGACAATGTCATATGCACATATTCAATGATATTAAAAGCTGTTCATAAATGGAGAAGGTAAGTTACTAAAGAATATGAATATTATCCCATTTTTATTAAATTAAATATATATAGGATATATATGAATATATTAATTAGTTTAATACTGGGATTTTTTTTTAATTTTTAAGTAATAAACATTTATTTATTTTTGAGATAGGGTCTCACTATGTTGTCTAGACTGGAGTGCGGTGGTGCAATCATGGATCACTATAGCCTTGAACTCCAGTGCTCAAGTGATCCACCTCAGCCTCCCAAGTAGATGGGACTACAGGTATGTGCCACCATGCCTGGTTAATTTTTCTATTTTTTTGTAAAGACAGGGTTTCATCATGCTGCCCAAGCTGGTTTCGAACTCCTGAGCTCGTTATTCCCCCTGCCTTGGCCACCCACAGTGCTGGGATTACAGGTGTGAGCCACTGCACCTGGCTCAATTTATTATTTTTTAATTGACATATAATTGTACACATTTATGGGATGCATAGTGATGTTTCAATACATATAATTGTAGTGGTCAGATAATGGTAATTAGTATATCTACCATCTCAAACATTTATCATTTCTTTGTGTTGGGACATTTTCCTCTTGATACTCTATCTTATTATTCTTTTAAAATCATAAATATGGGCTGGGCGCGGTGGCTCACGGCTGTAATCCCAGCACTTTGGGAGGCCAAGGTGGGTGGATCACGAGGTCAAGAGATCAAGACGAATTGTGGCCAACATGGTGAAACCGTCTCTAAAAAAAATAAATAAATAAAATAAAATCATAAACATGTCTGGGCATGGTGGCTCATGCCTATAATCCCAGCACTTTGGGAGGCCAAGGCATGTGGATCATCTGAGGTCAGGAGTTTGGGACCAGCCTGGCCAACATGGTGAAACCTTGTCTTACTAAAAATACAAAAATTAGCCGATCGTGGTGTGGGTGCCTGTAATCCCAGCTACTCTGGAGGCTGAGGCCGGAAAATCGCTTGAACCCCAGAGGCGGAGGTTGCAGTGAGCTGAGATCATGCCACTGCACTCCAGTCTAGGCAACAGAGAAACTGCCTCTAAAAAAAAGTCATAAATACAATACAGCTAAATATTAAACAAACAATAATCGACATAACAGCACATTTCCTCTTTGCTGTCCTCTTTCCTCCCCCAAACACAGGAACCCTACCCCCTCATGGTGTCACACTGCCAAAGCACATCACTCTCCAGTGCTCTCAACCCTTTCTGCCTGGGAAACACTAGTCCAAGGATATGACCAGGAGGTTCCCTGGGCAGAAGAAACAAGGTCCCCTAAAAACACTTCTATCACCAGACTCCACAGGATAAGGAGGTATGTATAGGGGGAACCACGGATACCTCTAGCTCCCTACTCTGCAGAAGGTGGACAGATGAGGGAATTTCGGCTTTTACTGTATCCCACCATTATTTCTCCTATGGTGATTATCTGGAAGTTGGGGTGAAGACTAAAACAGGAGGGAGAGGGCTTATCCTTTAAATGTTACATGTCTCTGAGAAGAAGCTGATGGAAAAGTACCATGTAATATGGAAAAGCAGACACCAGGACTATGAAAAAAAAGAAAAGGGCCAGGCGCGGTGGATCACACCTGTAATCCCAGCACTTTGGAAGGCCGAGGCAGGTGGATCACCTGAAGTCAGGAGTTCAAGACCAGCCAGGCCAACATGATGAAACCCTGTGTCTACTAAAACTACAAAAATTAGCCAGATTCGGTGGCACGCACCTGTAATCCCAGCTACAGGAGAGGCTGAGGCAGGAGAATTGCTTGAACCCAGGAAGCGAAGGTTGCAGTGAGCCTCGATGGTGCCACTGCACTCCAGCCTGGGTGACAGAGTGAGACTTTGTCAAAAATAAAGTAATAAAAGAACTGTATAATGTTATTAATAATAAATAATACCTATTGGTGTCTCTTAGGACAGAGACTCGAATAGTGGTGAGGTAGTGTGTCAGTCTAGCTACTTTACTGATGATGTGCATGTTTCAGAGTGTCATCAGGGAGACGGCAGTGACGCGGGAGAGGGCCCATTTCCTGTTCGTGCTACAGTAGAGCAAGGGCTCTTTGGACAGTGTCTATGCTGGCTCTCTGGGGAGGACAAGATTTCCTGCTCAGCACCGTCTGCGTATCGGAGAAAAAGGCTCATCCACCAAGTGTGTCCTGGGCGGTGGGAAAGATAAAGGTTTGGCCTCCTGGGCGGAAGAAATACCCAAAGGAAGATAACCTTTTAGATTCGGGAGCCAGAGCAGCACGAATGGCTCTGGCTCTGGTTTGGGAAATCTGCGTCTTAAAGACTTTTCCTCCATTATATTCTCCCCATTCAACAACCAGTTTGGAAAATCCCCCTATTCTACAGTTCATGTAGCACTGCTACGCACACACCCAACACTTACGCACGTACCTGCGCACCAATAATATACGCGCATCACACATTGCCCGCTGAGGACATGCAGAAACACACCACACAGAGCCCAGTACACTTGGACTTGAGGCAGAAGGCTGTTCCACACCCACACATCCCCTAAAATATACATGAGGTCGAGGGAAGGTGAGGCCGGGCGGCGTGCGCCCGACCTTGTACTCAAACAATGCGCCAAGCAACACTCCGCGCCCATCTGTGATCCCGGTTAAGTGCGCAACTCGGACAGGCACCATCCCCAGGACCCGACTGCCCAAACGCACTCCCGGGCGGACGGCAGATTACCGCCCGAGCGCGACGCTCCCAAAGCCCCACATCCAAAGGAAAAAGCATCGAAGGCTAGCGAGCGAGGAGAGGGGCGATGAGAGGCACTGCCTGGGGAGGGCACTCGGGAACTAGCGAGAAACACAGTGGGAGTGGGGGCAAGCCCGTCCCCTGCCCTGTTCCAGTTGCCTTACTGATCCTGGTGCAGCGGCTGGTGGCTATGTGGCGTCTCTTTGCCCTGCGCCGCGGCCTCACTGAGGTGGTGCCGGACGCCCCCGCCAAGGAGGGGGCTCCGGCTCAGGTGACCCCAGCCTCCCCGCCGGCAGTGACTGCCGGCCCGCCTCACCGCCTTCTGCAGAGCCTTCATGGAGCGCATGCCCCCAGCACGCCGCCGGCTCTGCCTGTGCGCCCAGGACTTCTGAGCGTTGGCTGGGAGAGAGGGGCGGAGCTGGCGAGATAAGGTGCGGGGGAGCTCTGTGAGGGAGCGCTGGACCTGGAAGATGGAGAAGGGAGGCCCGGTGGGTGGGGCTGGGGCAGGAGGAGGGGCCTGCCCCTTTAAAGCGGGCTCCTTGGTTAGGAGCACCCATTTCCTCAGGACCGGGGCTAGGTGAGGAGCGCCGAAGATACAGGAGAACCCGAGTGGAATTTTAGTGGGTGGAGAGAGGGCGGTGCCTGGGAGCTAGAATGGACAATGCCCAGGTCCAATCACTGAGGAAGCAAAAATATTGAGGCGGGGAAAGGGTAAGGCTACCCAATGAGGCTGTGGCCCTCTAAGGCAGCTCGAGGATGCTTCCGTATCCTCGTCCTGAGTGAGCCGGTGTCCACGGACGCTGAGGACGGGAAAGGCGAGGCCGAGCTGAGGCGTAGCTGGTGGGGGCCGGAGGGGCTTCTCCGGGGCATCACGGGGCTGCAAACGATGGAGTTCTGGTGTAGAGAGAACGATGCTGTCTTGAGAGAGGAGGCCCAGAGTGAGCCCGGTTCAGGTCACTTAGCCTCGATTTACGAAGCCAAACCAACCCTCCGTAACCCGGCGGGTAGCTTGGCGCGTGGCGGACGCCTGGTGGTGCTGAGTGGAGAGGAGGATGGCCACCGGGAACCCCGGGCAGAAGCACCTGAGGGAAGCACGGGGAGGCGGGAAGGTCGCTCTGGAGGTTAGCATGCCTGAGTTCCAGTTTGTGTCCTTCTATCACTTACTGGGTGACTGTGTAGGACTTATTTTCAAATCTGGAAAGTTAAGACATTAAAATAAGGTAGCACACAGGAAAACGTTTTATAAACCATGAAGTGCTCCCCACATTTTTCCTATTGTAATTGCTTGCTCTTGTCCTCCTCACCGGCAGAAAAGAGGCAATTTACAAAACGAATTTTGAAAACTAAGGACATTCAGGACTTTTGCCATTTGCAACTAGAACTTTCACCAACTCAGCAGCCATATTTAGTAGGGACTCATTATGTAAATAATAGCTGTTATTGAGTGCCCATGGTGCGCCAACCACCTAGTTTCTCTCTCCCTCTTACCAGAGACCTACAAAGCAATTATTAGTCTCATTTTGAAGATGAGGAAACTAAGGCTTGGAAATTAAGACTTCTCCTTATAAGGTAACCCAGCTAGTAAGTACCAGAGCCAGAAATTAGCACCCCCCCGCTTTTTTTTGAGACTGAGTTTCGCTCTTGTTGCCCAGGCTGGAGTGCAGTGGGGCGATCTTAGCTCACTGCAACCTCCGCCTCCAGGGTTCAAGCGATTCTTATGCCTCAGCCTCCTGAGTAGCTGGGATTACAGGTGCACGCCACCACACTCTGCTAATTTTGTGTTTTTAGTAGAGACGGGTTTCTCCATGTTGGCTTGGCTAGTCTCCAACTCCCGACCTCGGTCTTCCAAAGTGCTGGGATTACTGGCGCGCCGGGCCCCGTTTTTTTGTTGTTGTTTGTTTGTTTGTTTTGAGACGGAGTTTCGCTCTTGTTACCCAGGCTGGAGTGCAATGGAGCAATCTCTGCTCACCGCAACCTCCGCCTCCTGGGTTCAGCCTCCTGAGTAGCTGGGATTACAAGCACGCGCCACCACGCCCAGCTAATTTTTTTGTATTTTCAGTAGAGACGGGGTTTCACCATGCTGACCAGTATGGTCTCGATCTCTTGACCTCGTGATCCACCCGCCTCGGCCTCCCAAAGTGCTGGGATTACAGGCTTGATGTTTGTTTTTAAACTACAAGTCTCTCCTTTGTGCAGCCCTTCCCAAAAATTAGGCATTGAATTGAATTATTCCAGGAGAAATTATTCCATCCCTAAAGGAGGTATTTTATGTGGAATTATGATACAGTACTGGGAGTCTTTTCCTTGTGATAGTTTTGGATGTATCACAAAATACCTTTCCTTTCTTTTTTTTGAGACAGAGTCTCGCTCTGTCACCCTCTGCCTCCCGGATTCAAGTGATTCTCCTGCCTCAGTCTCCTGAGTAGCTGGGACTACAGGCGTCTGCCATCACGCCCGGCTAATTTTTTGTGTTTTTAGTAGAAACTGGGTTTCACTGTGTTAGCCGGGCTGGGCTCGATCTCCTGACCTTGTGATCCACGCACCTCGGCCTCCCAAAGTGCTGGGATTACAAGCATGAGCCACTGTGCTTGGCCCGTAGTTTTCATTTTTAGATTAAAATGAGTTTCAAAGGTAACCGTGGAAAAACAAATACTGAACCCAGTCTGCTGGGTTCTGTGGAAAGGAGTTCTCCTTTGCCTTGGTTAGAGCTGGAGGGCTTATTTGCCTTGAGACCAGATGGAGTGAGATTTATTTTGTTTTTGCTTGTTTTTCCTCTTCTGTAGTCATTCTGTGTCTGCTATGTCTGTTCTCCTGTCTGTGGAAAACCCTCTAATTCGGGGTCTCCAGCTTGTGCCTTTATGCTTGGCTTTGCCCAAGAGACCGAGTTCTGGGTCTTAATATTTAGTATAAACTCAATCCTGCATTATTTTTTTTTCATATGTAACAGATGAATCTTATCCTTGCTTCATAGGAGTATTATTTATCTGAAGCATTTTGATCCGTTCAAGAGAAAAATACCATCTGTTAGGGAATTTCTAAAGATTACCCAGAAGTAATTTGCTTTCTTTATTTCCTATTTCTGCTTCTTTGAATTAGCTTTAATTATACTCTCATGAGCTCCTTACTCTCTCTCAGCACCCTTCTGCTAACAGGAACTGGTTGGGTAGCAAAGAAGATCTATGCATGGAAGCAGATCTGAAAGTTCTCTCAAAAAACAAAAAAAGAAAAAGAAAAGCTAAATCCTCTGTGATAGAAGATTGATGTTTGTGTTTAGAGATTATTTCTTATGATTTAGAGACTCATTTGTTCTACTTTATTTATTTCGAGACAGAGACTCACTCTGTCATCCAAGCTGGAATGCAATAGCACAATCTCAGCTGACCGCAACCTCTGCCTCCCAGGTTCAGGTGATTCTCCTGCCTCAGCCTCCCAAGTAGCTGAGATTACAGGTGCCCACCACCACGCCCAGCTAATTTTTGTATTTTTAGTAAGGACGGAGTTTCACGCTGCTGGCCAGGCTGGTCTCAAACTCCTGATCCCATGATCTCCTCGCCTTGGCCTCCCAAAGTTCTGGGATTACAGGTGTGAGCCACCACGCCCAGCCTGTCCTACCCTTTAGATTGTAGCTAGGTCCAAGTAAAAGATTAGTTCTCTTTTTTTCATTAATCTTTGCTAATGATACTATTGTTACAAACTCCTTTCTGCCTTAGTTTCTCTTTTTGTAAAAGATAAACTTGTATTTTACTGGGTAAAATGTAAGTACTTGAGGCTCTGACATAATCAGCTTCCATTCATTCAATGAATATTTATTTGTTGGCATTCAGTATACCAGGTCCAGTGCTGGAGAATCCAAAAATTTAATAAACCAGTTTCTATTGGGAGGAATGAGAAAGCTTATATTTAAAATTCCTAATGAAAAATGCTGTGATGTAGAGACATGCAGAAGAAAGTATAAAAAGAGGACACCTAACTCAGCTGGGGATGAAGGGCAGCTGAGATAGAAGAGGAATGTCAGCTGACAGGAGCCAGTTTAAAGCATGAGAGGTGTTTCGGACAAAGGGCTCTGCAAGAATAAACATAGCCTGAGAAGAACATTTGAGGGACTCTACCTCATTCCTGGTTGGAATGAAACGTGAGTATGAGAATGTGGACCAGCTGGGCACAGTGGCTCACGCCTGTAATTCCAGCACTTTGGGAGGCCAAGGTGGGCAGATCATGAGGTCAGGAGTTTGAGACCAGCCTGATCAACATGGTGAAACCCTTTCTCTACAAAAATTAGCAAGTCGTGGTGACGCACTGTAATCCCTACTCAGTAGGAAGAGGTAGGAGAATCGCTTGAATGCAGGAAGCAGAATGTCTGCCTGGGCAACAGAGTGAGACTCCATCTCAAAAAACTCAAAAAAAAAAAAAAAAAAATGGGCCGGGCGCGGTAGCTCACGCCTGTAATCCCAGCACTTTGGGAGGCCGAGGCGGGTGGATCACGAGGTCAAGAGATCGAGACCATACTGGTCAGCATGGTGAAACCCCGTCTCTACTAAAAATACAAAAAATTAGCTGGGCACTGTGGCGCGTGCCTGTAATCCCAGCTACACAGGAGGCTGAGGCAGGAGAATTGCCTGAACCCAGGAGGCGGAGGTTGCGATGAGCGGAGATCGCGCCATTGCACTCCAGCCTGGGTAAACAAGAGCGAAACTCCGTCTCAAAAAAAAAAAAAAAAAGGCCAGGCATAGTGGCTCATGTCTGTAATTCCAACACTTTGGGAGGCTGAGGTGGGTGGATCACAAAGTCAGGAGTTCGAGACCAGGCTGGCCAATACGGTGAAACCCCAACTCTGAAAAACACATAAATTAATCAAGCGTGGTGGTGCATGCCTGTACTGTAGTCCCAGCTATTCTGGAGGCTGAGGCAGAAGAATCACTTGAACCCGGGAGGCAGAGGTTGCAATGAGCCAAGATTGCACCACTGCACTCCAGCCTGGGCGACAGAGCTAGACTTCGTCTCTAAAAACAAACAAAAAACACAGAATGTGGACCAATGAAGCTGAGGATGTAGATAGGGGCTGCATGTTTTAAGTTGATGCTAGGCTTTCACGGAGTAAATGAAATTTAATAAAAGCTTATCTGGCCGGGCGTGGTGGCTCACGCCTGTAATCCAAGCACTTTGGAGGCCAAGGCGGGTGGATCATCTGATATCGGGAGTTCAAGACCAGCCTGACCAACATGGTGAAACCCCTGTCTTTAAAAAAAAAAAAAAAAAAAAAAAGTTTATCTATGATCTATTCCAGTGTGCTTTCCTAATTCTTCTTTG